CATTCTTCCCCTCCCGCTACCTTCTTCTTCTTCTGATTTCACTTATTATTATACCAAACACCCTTGCACAGGAAACTCTGATTATGTCCATAGGGTATCTCCCAGAGCTGAAATTACTAGGGCAGAGCATGAATGTTTTAAGGCTCCTCATGTTTTCCAGGTGGCTTATGCAGACAACCCTCACCAGTGGGACAATGTCCTCAACCACTACTGTGGGTTGTTGATTTTATTTTTAAACCTTATCTGTTTGAGAGTAAAAAACAAAACAAAACAAAAAATGCTTTTACATTTGCATTGATCTAGTTTCTGATAACATTGTGCATTCCCCCTCATTTCATTTTTTCAATATTGACTTCATCTCTCAGATAATATATTTTGCTGAACATTTTCCTGATCAAAATAGAAACTAGAGACAAATCATGGAACCTCTGGTTTTTCTAGGTCGCAAAATCCAATTTGCAAACAGATGGATTAAATTCTTCTCTGGAACAGCTCCAAAGGAAAGTAGAAATGTGTCAAAACTCAAAGGGAGATAAAAAAGTAAGTATTCGGTATTTGCTAAGCTATGAATAGTAAAGATGCATTACACAAGAATTATAAACTGGAAGTAAACTTACATCTCTCATCAAGATTTCTCCAGCTCCAGAGGGGCCTCTGAGCCTTCCCACTTAACCCCTGCTTTATTCAGTGGAATTAAGGAAGAAAAGAAAACACAGACACCTCCTCCAGCCCCCAGCCCCTCCCAGGCAGGCTTGTAGAGTCCAGTGAGTGTGGGGCTTCTGTCTGACCTCATTCCCCTTCTGATGTCACCAGGCATCCCTCCCTGTGATTGGAACTCAGCCCTAGATGAAAAATAGAAGTAGGACTCTACCCTCTGAACAACCACTTTTTTGTTTGATTTTTCATTTGCTTGGTTTTTTGATCATTGCACATACACTGGTGTCTTCTGTTTTTTACGTATAAGCTGTGAAGAGTCCAAATGAGAGCAATATAGATCAGCATAGCAGGTCTCTGCATGTTTATGTTGTTTACTTGCTTGTTCTCCCCCATGAGCACACATCTCTGTGTCCTGTTCAACATTCGTCCTGGCCTCCCTGAGCAGTGTTTTCTCAGCAGCTCAATCAGGCACTTGAGAACCAGATGTCTCAGCTGGAGGTTTCTTGAGTGGGATGCTCCTTCCTCAACAAGCTCTGTCTTTTCTCTTCCATTTCAGTGACTGAGTTGAGGTGTTTTTTTTTGTCAACACTGAGAGGACATTTAGTTTCTATCTTTATTGCTTTTTCTTGCATAGTAACACATGCTTCTTGAAGAAAGTTCAAACATCCACAAAGCACAGAGTGAATACATGTCCCTCATCTTATTCTCATTTTTTGCAAGGCCCCCAGTGACCTCTGTATTTTCATGCAGTAATTTCAGCACATCCCTGGGGAATACAGGGAAAGTAGGTTAATCTGAAGTGACCCCTTCAACAGACCCTCTAGGGACAGCTCTGCCTCTTCCAGAGCAGAAACATTTGCTCTTCCACATTTCCTCACCTCCCCAACCCCCTCACTGTCCCCTCCTGGTGGTGTAAGGTGTTGGACAGGGTGCCTGGGGCTTGCAGAGCCTCCTGGCCAGGGCAGGGGAATGTGAACTTGGCTGGGCAGGCAATTGTGTGTTGATGGAGGAGACTGGTTGGCTATTTCTGCAAAGCAGTGATCAGGAGACGGGAACAATGGGATTCATGGTGAAGGCAGTGGGGACCAGGGATGGATGTGGCCGGGGTCACGTGCTCCGTGCCATGCGTGAAGAGGGCCTCCTGGCTGCTGTGTGCCGAAAGGCAGGGAAGGAGGGAGGAGGGAGGCAGGGTGTCATGACTGAGGCAGAGAGAATAGTGGCCTGGACAGGTTGCCAGCAGAGACATCTGATTCCAGAGTTGAGTGTCAGGGGAATGGTTAGGACTCAGAGTGCACTGGAAGTGAAGGAAGCAGAAGAGGCCAAGGCACCTCCTGGCCTGGGTTGTCTACATAGGTCAGTGAACGATTCAGGGGAACAAGTGTGAGGACTGCCAAGTGATGTGTGGGATACACGGTGAAACTGAACATCCTTACAGGTGCTTCCCTGCACACTTCAGGGCATGGGTGGGGGCTTGCTGCTAGAAGGGGATGTGTATCTGACCTTATTAGGTCACCTTCCAGAAAGGCTGTGGTCATTTCACTCCTATACAACCTGGCCATCTCGGGCCAAACATTTCCTTCTAAGAGTGTCAGAGCTAGAAGAGATCCCAGGGAACATTCTGGGTCCCCACCATATAGATGAGGAAACCAAATTGAGCAAATTTAAATCATTTGCCCAGAATGAACCCATAAAACCAGGACTAGAATTCCTGATGCCCCAACATTGAAGGATTTGCTGCCCCAGTGCAACTGCCCAGAAGAGCTAGCCAGCATCTCCCACTCTCTCGGAGCCCTCCCTGAAAGTGAGGGGCCTCCACAGCACCAAGAGGTCTGCAGTTCAGATGGAGGCAACTGGCCGTCCTTCAGCCTACTTCCTGTGGCTTTCTTCCCCTAGATGGTGACCTCGGAAGACCTCCTTGGCTTTGTCCAGACTTGGAAAGAAAAACTGGGCCAGAGGATTCAGTACCTCAATTGCAGGCTGGACACAGTGTCCATGACTCGAGTGGTCTTTACCGTAAGGAACGGACAGTAAAGGAAGGGACTGAGCAATGGGGGAGGGTGGGGGAGCCATCAGGTCTAGGCTCCTAGGAGACCCACAGGGCTCAGCAGAGCCTAAGGGAATAGGAGGCTCCCAGGCTCCTATTGGACACCAAGCCTACTAGGATGCCTTGGAAAGACTATAGGCTATGCAGTCAGATCTGGGTTCAAATCCCAGATAGGCCACTTCCCCGCCTTGGTCTCTTTAGAAGACCCCTCACTTCTTGACACCACCTCCTCATCTCCACCAGGACCTTCAGCTTACCCCACCAGCTGGCTCTCAGGCAACCTTACCTTTCAGCCTCTTCTCCTACCCCCACCCATGAGCAACCACTGGCTTCTCCCCACCCCACCCTCACCCCGTTTACTTGCCCACCTATGGTCCCTTTCCCTCTCACTGCCCCTCATGCTCTACTCCCTGAGCTGCAGCCAGACCGAACATTGGAGAAGGTCAGTCTGACTATGTCACTCTTCTGCCTTCAGGGTGAAATCCAGACCCTTGGACTGGGCCTTCACAGCAGCCTCCTCGGTCCGCCCTCCATGGCCTCTTCCTTTCTCGCCCTCACTCCCACCCCAAAGACATGGCTTACCCCGAGCCTTCTCTCACAGACCCCGGAGTGAGGTCTCCATTGTAAGGCCTGTCTCTCTGGATTGTGTGCCCCAAAAGGGCAGAGCTGTGTCACCCTCAGCCCATACTCAGCCTCTCACACCAGGCTTTGAATGCCTGAGGCACTCAACCAACTTCCACGGGGGGAGTGTCATAGACCCAGTGTGGGCATAAGTGGACCCCCCACGAGTTCTGTTCTGGCCACCTTACTGCCACCAGTGCTTCCTTCTATGGGGAGTCTCTTCACCACCAGTACTAAGCCTCCATCACACCGCTGGCACTGCGCCCTTCCAGACGGAACCCAGGAGTCCAGCTGGGGTCCTGCCCTCTTACAGCCCCCTGCTGAGACGAGACTCGATAAGACAGGAACCAGCCTAACTAAGCACTCACTGGGGGCCACCGCTCCTACCCTTTCTCTAAGATCCAACTTGTGGGGGGTGTTGGCCACTCACTTGTGGACACTTTCATTCACTCCTCCCTTTTGAGAACAGTGCCTGGGCATATCTACAGGCTGGCCTTGTAAGTCCATGACTCTGGAACTTCTTCACAGCACTGGTCCCAGTCTTGACCAAACATTTATTTGTAGAAGCGCATATTAAATGTTTGTCTCTCTGACCAGACTGTACACCCCGTAAAGACAGCGGTCACATGTTACCTCTCTACACTGTGTCCCAGCGCCTTGCTGAATGCAGGTACTCAGGAAACATTTTGAAAGCCAACACGCACACTAAAATGCATGCATGCATGCATGAATGACACTCTGAAGGAGATATGACCATTACCATTTTTTAGAAGGAAAATCGAGGCTCAGGGAATCAGGCAGCTGGCCTCCAGCAGCAGGCCCTGGGAACATGAACCCAGGCCGCCTGCATCCCTGGCACTGAGGCTGGGCCCACCAACTCAGGTCCTTCTCTTGGGCCTGTAGGACAATGTCATGACCGACCTAGAGGTGGAGAGTGACATCATGATGTCTTCAGAAGCCCTTGAAGAGGAGGCCAAGATAGACTTGGTCACCCCCGAGTCCTTCGCCCAGCCAAGCCGCATGGGGAAGCCCATGATTGAAGACCCAGCTGTAGAAGTGGTCAAGAAGATCCTGAAGTGAGTGGCCATGGGGTGTACAACAGGGCCCTGCCACCATAGTTTATGGCCCTGAGCCTTCAGGGACCATCTATGGGGTCCCACACATGAGGTTCTCACCCCTGACAGCCTATGACTTTGTATAGGGGCTTTTCTTCTTGAGCCTCAGTTTCCTCCTCTGAAATGGGGCTCATAATAGGACTGATACATATGGTATTGTGGGCTAACTGGGATGAGTACCTGGCCTGAGCTGTCCTCGTGGTCACAGGGGAAAAGCTCATCTCCTTTCCTTCGGTTTCAGACTTCCCGACGAAAAATGCTCAACCCAGCAGTGTGACAAAGACCGCTCCCAGACAGGTAGGGACACACAGGCCTGTGGGTCTCAGGACACTGGCAGTGGGGGGGCCGGTGTTACCACTTGGCCCATCCTCACCTCGGATTCTCTGTTCTTGTCCTGGGCACTCATCACCCAAAGGCCTGAAGCGACACCAGAACCGGGGGGAACACTTCGTGAGGAAAGCCTTGTCCAGTGCCAGTGCAGCTTCGACAGGAAGGTAGGGAGGCCGGGCTGCCCAGGATCTCCCCTTCCCAGATGCCTTCCCTCACCCCCCAGACATAGGCCAGGGACCACGCTGTTGCTTCACCAGACTGTCCTCAGAATGTACCACCTGTGCTCACAGCTCTGAGACCCCAAGGGACCCACTGAGAGGTTGGTTCTAAAGCTGGCTCTAGTCAGGTCTGTGCACTTTCCTGCTGAGTGATGTGGCTCACACGGGCCTCCCACCTTGAGAACCCATCTGGATGTTCTTTGGCTTTCCATGGTGACAACTGCTGGATCCCAGCCCTCCTCACATACCCATCATCCTGGTAAAAAAAGAGGGACATTGGAGATGGCTTCCCTTGCAGGAGGAATCCTAGACCTCTGCATCCTGGCCATGCACTCTGCCCACCGTGCTCCCATTGGGGTCATTAGACTCATGGCTCAGTGAGTGTGGGCCCCACTGTCCCCCGACACTGATTTTATAGGAGGCGGGTAACAGAGCCAGTGGCTGAACTGACTTCTGGATTCTCTGTGAGCCATCATTTATATGGTTTAATTCCTGGTTCTGAGGAAGTGGTAATGAGGAAATTCCTGCTTTGCATACCTCTGAGAGGTCCTTTTGAACATGAACGCCATCTGCAACATGGAAATAAACCTAAGACCAACCAAATGAGAAAAGCAAAGCCTATTTATTCGGAGCGTGGTACAGCAAGGGGGTCAGCCATCATCACTTAGGTTTTAGCAGAGACTCAAAGTCAGGCAAGGGAGTGAAGAGGCTGTATGGTGGAGAAGGGGAGGGCTTTAGGTGTGCCTTTACGGAGGCTGTTGACATGGGGAAGCTGGAGGCAGACCAGCTAGCAGCAGGCATTCCATGTCATCACTTAGGGCTGCGTATTTGGCTTTCTCTGGTTGGTCCTAAGTTGGAAGCAGGGATAAAATTTAGGGAAGCTGTCAGTTAGTAATCAAGTCCTAGCCTTTTGGAGCTGGAGTTACTGTTACAGGAGTTATTGTTTAGCATTTTGGATTGCCGCAAGAGGTAACAATATGGCTTCCTGCAAGTCTGACCTGTATCAGGCTGGCTTCCTGAGTTGTTTACGGTAGTAGACGAGGGGTTGGTTTCCTGGGCAGGTTGCTGCAGGGTCTGGGTCAGAGTTCTGTATTTATGTAGAGTCCAGCTATTGTCCATTTGTATAGTCAGTCTCTCAGTGGTTACAAAATGTAGTCCTTGTTGCTTAGGGTTGTCTGATGTTGCATGGGACATACTTACACTAAACATTATTCACTGCTTTGATGAAATTCAAGTTTAACTGGGCATAGTGTCCTTTTATTTGAAAAGCATCTCAACCTGTTTTTCTTTGGGTCCTCACCACAAGGAAGCAATGATGCACAGTTTCTGGCCCTTCCCTCCCTCTCAGGGTCCTGGGGTGGGTTTTAGCGATAAGGACTTCACCCCCATAATAAGGTTGTCTCCATAGCAGATGGGGAGTAGGGAAGTGTCTTGAAGGATTCCGCCCCAGACACGGGAGTCACGGTGTCCCACAGGCGGGCCTGGAGGCTCCAGCCACAGAAGAGCTGTGCTCCTACTCCAGCCTCCAGAGCGCTGACTTACCTGTGTCTCACAGCATCACACGATACTCCAAGCCCAACCGAATGGACAGAAAGTACCAGGTGCTCGGGGAGAAGCCACCGCCTCCAGCTGAGTAAGTGGTACCTTATCCTTTAACTCTATTTTAACCCATTGTCTCAGTCAGCGGGTGGCTAAACCAGACACAGCTGGGGGGAAAATAAGGAGAGGTGGGTGAAGGGAATAGGTAAGGGTCAAGGTCAATGTGTCTCATCCCAGTTCACCTAAATTCATTGCAAGTCATTTTCACCAAAATTTCTCATTTTCCAAGCTAAGCTTTTTGGGGTAGTCAGGCAGCATACCCCTTTTAGGTTTGGGTTTTTTTTTGTGGGTGTTGGTTTTTTTTTTTTCAATTTTTAAATGCTTCACCTCCCCCATTCCGCTTTCCCTTTATTTTAATTTCATTGATTAAAACAAACTCTGTTCCACTTAATATGGCTACATTTCAAGCAAACAAGCAAGATTTCAACTTCAGAAAATTGGGGGCCCTCAGAGAAAGTAAAAGTCTACAATGGATGCACACACACACACCCTTAATCAGGGAACTCACCATCACAGCACCCCTACTTATCAGTCTTTTTTGCCCCACTGGTCTTATCTCTGGGGTTTTGTGAACTTTGCAAAAAAAGGGTGGCTTTCGCTTCAGGTGGCCTAGAAGTTGGGTCTAAGTCAGCAGCTAGATGCTCCCTTGTCCCCCCCACAAAAAGACATTCCTTATCATTAAAACCTTGACTGTCTCTTTCATTTTGTATAGTTCTGTCATTTTATCACATGTGTATATTCACATAACCATCACCCTAATCAAGAAACAGAACTGTGCCATCACCACCTACCGTTCAGTCACTCATGCTATCCTTTCATAGCCATACCTACCTGCCTCCCTCACCACCCCTAACCCTGAGCAGCCACTAATCCATTTTCTATGCCTATCATTTTGTCACTTCAAGAATTTCATATAAATGGTCTTATACAGTGTATGACCTTTTCAGAATGACTTTTTGCACTCAACATAATGCCCTTGCGATCCACCCCAGTTGTTGCACGTATCAATAGTTCATCCCTTTGTATTGCTAAATAGTTAGCCACCGTATGGATGCCCTATGGTATTTTTGTGGTGAAAAAAAAATCACAGGCTAAACAGAAAAAATAATGAATAGATCAAGCATTTATGAAATCTCTCAAAGGGGAGAGACTTTCCTGGCCTAGCTCAGTGGTGAATTGGTCAGAAAATGGAATCAGGCTGATGATGTTTTGCCCCCCACAATGGGACTCTGGCTAAGTGACTTCTCCTCAAGCCTTCATCTTTTCTGTGCACTGTGGGTAGAAGAGGATCCTCCTCTTGGAGCTGTGGGGAGGAGCCAGCAAGTCACCCACAGGCCTCCCTTGAGTATACAGGATCGTCACCCCAAGAAACACTAGATGAAATCACAAGGAAAAAGATGGAAAATTTTGGCAAATAAATTTTTAAAACCCTCTGAGGTAAACTGCAATTAAAAGTTAGTAACAACCAGCAAAGACACAATAGTGGTAAATAAGGCCAACAAAGCAAAAATTGGCTCCTCTCCCTGCCCACCTTCCCCCAGCAAATTGTTAAGGAACTTTCCAGCACTTAGTAGGGTAAGGGGAGAATTGGAAGAGACCACACGCAAGGAGGAAATAAAATTAGGAACAAACATTTGGAGAAAACACGAATTCTCACTGGAATGCAAACAAATGAAAGGGGAAGAAATCCATTGCATATTTTGCCTGAGATTAACCAATATGTAAATAGATTTTAGAGGAAGTTCCCAGTTTACCATGGGAGGGTGCAGATGGTCCCTCCCAGCACTGCCAGTGTGAGGTGTTAAGGGGAAAATTATTCTGATCCTTGTTAAAACAGTGAGGAAGACTTCATGCAGGACCATTGCAATAGGTGTCAAGACTGTTCCAGTAGGGGAGAGATGGGGCTCAATTCAGAATACATTCAGGACAAGAGAAGATCTATAGCTAATGTGCAGAGTGAGGGAGTCAGTGGATGGAAAATTCAAGGGTAGTGAGATTCTTGCTAAACCTACTTAGCAGGATTTTTGCTGCAGGCAGGCCATGGTGATCGGATAGTGAAGGTGATCCGACATGACGGTGGAAGGTTGTGTCTAAACTGAATTAACAGTATCTTGCTCACATAGGACCCAGCAGGCCAAAGACCGTGCCCAAGGATAAGGCCCAGTCAAGAAGTAGGCTCAGAAGAGCCTCTCTAAAGTTTGGTCAAACAGAGAGTCATGGTCAGTCCCTCCTCTTATTCAAGGAAAGAAGAAACATTCTTCTTTCCTTTGACCAGTATAAGTTCATTTCTCGTTCAGTCAGCTTTTGTTCCTTGAAGACCCGCTGAACCATCTGTTGAGACTCAGTAGTAAGGTAGCTGGTCAAGCTCTCTAGATGTTGGGACTGAAGCATCCTAAGTGGCCCACACAGGAGCAGCTCCAGGCATTACGGTGGCCCCTCGTCTAGCATCAGCTTGCTGGACTTCATTAGATTTTGGAGGGAAAGTCAGCTATAAGCAACAGAAAGTCCCAATAAGGATCCAGGCAGCCAGGCTTAGTTCTCAGTGGCTTCAAGTCAGCAGGGTGGGAGAGAATTTGGAAACATTAACTGGAGGAGTTGTAGCCAGATATTGAAGGAAACTAGAAGAACTGAGAGTTTGGTAAGGACTGACAAACTGTGCAAGATGGCAAGATCCCAGTCCAGTTTACAGGTAGGTAATGAAATCTCAAAGACAGTGAATAGGACTAGAATCTTCTAACCCGCAAGAGTGCGCTGTAGTTTTCCATTGAGGCATAAAACTTCTATCACCCCTCTTTCTGATGCTTGCCTACAAAACAAGCCTGATCTCTTTAGATTTGACCTGATTCTTTATGTAGGTGCAGTAAGAATGGTAATTGATCGCATAGATCTCTTTAAGTTTGTGTTGCTGGAACTCCTCATAAAGAATTTCAGATTAGACTTTCAAAAGCCCCTTGAGACTAGGAAGCCAGGCCAGAGTTCACCTGCAATCCCTCTAGATTTAGGTGAAACCCTCTCTTCTTGAGGCCCCCACAGTAGCCTAGGCTCCTGGGCTTGCCAGAAAGGGGTCTTCCTTCCTCACCTGTAAGGCTGGGAACCCTGTAAGCCAGGTACAGGCTGCTTTTCCCAAGAGGGCTTTGTAAAAAGCATTGACTCCCTGCAGTTGACCTTAGTTCCTTAAAATTGTCTGGTCGTATCTGATTCTATATGTCCTTCTCCATATGATATTCCAGTCAGAGCCTTGCTTATATAGCAGTACTTCCAGTTATGTCCCATTATAAGGAAGATGGATTCTTACTGAACTGTGAATAGTTGTATTGCCATGAAAACAGGTATACTCGATAAGAGTTTTCGAATTCTGAGGTGTATATGAGTGGCTAAAATGCTCAACCTATTTCCAACTAGCCCTTTTTCCTTTTCAGTCTCAGGCATTTGTTTTTAGGGTTCCCCGTTCCCCTGAGAGCCCCAAGAGGGATGGGAGGCCTAGAGTTCAAGGGATTGTGGGAGCTGAGGGTGGGAATGGGAAGAGAAATGTCTTGCAGGGTGGACGGAGGTGAGGCTTTGCAGGGAGGTGTGTCTAAGGGTACCAGGAAATTGACGAGGAGATGGAGGTGGTGAGAGGAGGAAGTCAAGGAGCAGAGGTGAGGGGAAGGCAGAGGGCTTAGATGGGCCAGTCTGGGGAGACGTGAAGTTTCCCAGAGAAGCCAGTGAGGTTCCACATTATGCTTAGTCAAATCATGCCAGTGGTATGAATCACACAGCGGACTGTTTAGGAAGGGATAGTGAAAACACACAAAGGAGTCTGTCTAATGCTGGCCAAAAAGAGTTTTTGTCATGGCCAACAGCAAAAGATCTTTCCAGAAAGCAGTTTGGGAAGGCAGTAAAGGGCATAAAATTATGCCTGTTGTGCACCGCCTTGGGTGTTTCTCGCGAGGAAACCATCCTATCAAGAAGAGAGAACTCTCACAAAGCTACACCATGCAATACTTTTTATCCTGGTTCAAAATGGGAAAACCTAACATTCCAAAAATAAGAGATTGCAAACCATGGTGCTTCCACACCCAGTGGTGTTACACAGCCATTTAAAAAGATATCTTAATGTGGGGGAACACTTAACAAGTGAACAGAATGTAAAATATACATGAACCTAATTCCAAACTGATTTTAAAAGCAGCAGAAGGAAATATCATAAAATGTTGGCCTTCATTTTTTTCCTTTGCTTTTCACTCTATTTCTAATTTTCTTTAATTATGATGAGTGAATTTTCAAATGAAACATCAAGTGACCGATATGCATATATTTTAGAAATTGGCCAACAACATGTGTGTACAGCAGTCGCTGAATCACTTAACAGAAATTGTGAAAAATTAAGTGTCCCACAACTATGTGCAGTTCTAAGACACCTGTCCCTTATTTCACTCCTACTATAGAGAAGGTTGACCTAGCTGGACAGGAATATCCAGTGCATCTGTGCAGATTTGTTTAATAGAGCCCTGATGTGCACACAGTCAGCCTACTGGCCAGAGGTGCCAGAAGGAGGATGTTTGGTCCTACAGGAAGTCTTCTTGCTCATTTGATTAACATTTATAAGAAATTGTTCTTTCTTCGTTCAACCGATCCCGAGGCACTGACATGGGCAGATACTGCAGTGGGACTGGTGGTTCCATGGTAAGCAAAAATAGATACAACAGTCTGTGTCCAGGTGAACTTTATCTGGGAGAGATAGAGGTTAATCAGCCAGTCACACAAGTCAATCCCAAATCCCCCCTGTGGGGAGTGTTGTAGGGCTGAGAACCACTCTGAGAGCATGGGAATAGGATGGTCGAGAATTGCCACCAAGCTGGGATCTGAGGAAGAGCAGTAGCAAATGTGACCAACAGGAAAGTTAGCAGTGTTCTCGGGGGGAGGAATCAGTGTGTGCAAAGGTCCTGGGGCAGGAGCAAGTAGCTACAAGGAGTGATGAGGCCAAGAGAGAATAGACTCTTGGAAGGGGCCAAACACCCAGATTGTCACATAGGAGAGGCATTAAACTAGACAAATAGAAATATTGGATGAGAATACACCTGGGCATCACATGAACTGTCCAATTCTGGCTGGGCCACTGTGCACTCAGAATGTTCTGTCCATTTGGTCTTGTCCACACCATTTCGTGTGATTAGATAAGGCCCCTCAGAGATCTGTCTTTTGTGTATTGCAGGGATTTTAAAGGGATCATCCTGACCCTCCTCTGGGAGAGCAATGAGCATCTGTTGAACGTTGTAGAGGTAAGGGCCACTAGCCACAGTCCTCCGCCTGTCCCTTGACTGGCTGCTGGCCCCACATCGGCCCCTGCCTCTGCCTCTTCTGTTCTGCTGATAATGGCCTTATGGGTAAAATTGAGGAAAGGGGATTCCAGCTCCCACGGCCACGGCTACCCAGCTTCTGTCACCTCATGGGGTGTTTTCCTAAAAATTAAACCTCATTCATTCATATATCCATTTATCCACACATTTCTTGGACACTGTGGGTCAGATACTGGGTGGGCCAAGAGCAACAAGCCCAGTCTCTGTCCCTGGGAGGCCAGCGTCCTGCAGACGGGTGACAGACATGGTGGCCTCACAGGCAGCTGGGTGAGGCTGCTGGAGCAGGCACCTGGGGGGCCTCCAGTGGGAGCTACCCAGTGCCCAGTTCCAGCACACCCCACACAGGGCTGTCTGTGCATGTTCCTGTCAGCCTCCCACTGGACTGCAAATCCTTCAGAACAGGGGCTCTAAATCTTCCATATTTGTGGCCCTTGGCCTAGTATCCGGCTTGGCACTTCATAGAAAGCATCAGAAAGTTCTCAACCCAGTCATTGAAATAAGATTCCATTTGGGTCTTGAAGGACCAATAGAGTTTTGCCATTCAGTCATGTATGCCTTGTGTTGGGGATAATGACAGTGGTGAAAAGGGCAGTTGGGTAGGAAGAGTGTGGCTGGGAGAGGTGCCATCAGGAGAAAGGGCTAGGCAACGTGCAGAACAGGGTGGAGGTTGTAGGAGCATGGTGATGCTCCAGAGCCCCATGGTGATGGTCAGCCTCTCCTGCAGGAGTTCTACCGCAGAGAGAAGCGCTCCATCATCAGGCCTGACTGCACGTACGAAAACTTTGACCAGTGCGCCGAGAACATCTGCAAGAAGATCCTGGACTACCACATGCAGACAGACGAGTACCATAACTCCTGCCTCATAGGTAGGTGCGGGCGGCAGGCGGGCGGGCAGGTCAGGGGCGTGGCACGTGCCACCGACTGAGCAGAGCCTGGAGCTCAAAGCCCAAAGGACGCCTTCCTGACCTGGAGGTCACCAGGGGAGGCACAGGAGCCTCCCTGTGAAAAGCCAACATCTTAGCATGAGGTAAAAGCGTTGATCGGATTTAATTGGGAGAAACAACAATGCTGAAGAAGATCACTTTTCTTGAGAAATCTGGTGATGTGCATTGCTAAGAATGTTTTGTTCATTGCCCAGATGATTTTGAGAGCTTTATTGAGACACTCACATGCCATACTATTCGCCCACGTAAAGTGTACAATTCCGTGGATTTTAGCATACTCAAAGACCTGGGCAATAATCACCACTGTCAGGTGTGGAACCCCTGTCCCTCTGTCACTGCCGCAGCCCTCAGCACCACTCAGCTACTTTCTCCCTCTCTAGATTTTCCTATTCCGGGCTTGCCTATGAATGGAACCATGTACCGTGTCGTCTTTTGTGACTGGCTTCTTTCATTTTGCATAATGTTTTCACGGTTCATCCACACTGTATCAGGTGGCACCTATTTTATTCCTCTTTATGGCCGATTCTCATTCCACTGTGTGCACGTACCACAGTTTGTCTATCCATTCATTTGGTGGTTTCCACCTTTGGCTGCTGTGAATAATGCTGCTACACACATTCACACACGAGTTTTGTTGTGGGTGTACATTTTCATTTCTCTTGGATGTATATAACTAGGAGTGGAATCGCTGAGTCATGTGGTAACTCTGTATTTGACCGTTTGAAGAAAACTTTCCATGGGTATTTGTTAAGTGCCTACTGTATGCCTGGCCTGTGCTGGGCTCTGATGACCCCGACAGAACAGCCTCCTGGAAAGTAGGGACACGAAAACAGGCAGGTAGGATACGTCATGCCATTCACATTTATTGTAATGACCTTAAAGAAGCTGTGAAAACACACCCAGCTCCCACCTTTGCCCATCTCTCCACATTCCTCCGCATCTTTGTTTATAGCCATACATGTTGTATGCAGTTGTAAGTCCTAATTATTCCTGCTTCTAAGGCAGGACACCTGAGGGCCCATCACCGTCCTGCCTGTTGGTTGAGGGGCAGCATGGGTAGAAGAGAGAGAGGATCAGGGGACACCCAGACCTAGGGTCAAGACCCAGCACTGCCATCTCCCCGCCTTATGACCTTGACCAAGTCACCTCATTTCTGTGAGCCTCAGTTTCCTTGTGTGTACACTGGAGATTAAGACAACACTCACCATATAAGGCTTTTCTGAGGATTAAGCCAGTCACAGAGACCTGCCACATCCAGGGAAAATCACCCACAGTGGGTCTCACTGCGACTGTGGGTCTTACAGTAGAGCGACTGGACATCAAACTGTTTCTCTAGCTCAGAATTTCCCCACACGAACTCTGGGATCCCATCCTCTATGACCTTCCTCAAAAGAAATGTTCTGTGGTCAAATGGGTTTGGGAAATGCTGCAGATTATGTTCTTCTCTGTAAGAGTCACAGTTCCCATGACATGGAGACTTCCATTTCCTACAGCGTGGGAGTCCAGTATCCTGACCAACCTTCCCACTGAAAACATTTAAAAGTATCAGATATAATATTTTTGTGATAAAGTCTTTTAAATGTATTGATGAGCTAGCTGTAAAGTAAGAAACACACAAAGCCCCCAAATTGGGTGAAAATGGGAACTCCAAGAGAGAAACTGAATAGTAACACATTGCCCGAAGGCCTTTGCTGACTCCCAGGTAAGCCTTTGTTTTCATGGCCTCCAGGGCCTTGGGAACAGGAGACAAAGCCCCAGACCACCAAGGTAGAAAGTCTGGAAGGACACAGCCACAGAAAACTGGGACCCCACAGGGCTCCAGCTGCAGAGTAGGACGAATGAGACAGAAACCAGGTCCCCCTTCCTGCTCCTGCACCACTACCACCACCAGCAACTAGAAGGAAATGGCCTTATTAAAAACCCTGCTAGGGCGCCTGGGTGGCTCAGTTGGTTAAGCGACTGCCTTCGGCTCAGGTCATGATCCTGGAGTCCGGGATCGAGTCCCGCATCAGGCTCCCTGCTTAGCAGGGAGTCTGCTTCTCCCTCTCCCTCTGTTCCTCCCCCTGCTTGTGCACTCTCTCTCTCTGACAAATAAATGCATAAAATTTATCTTAAAAAAATAAAAGAGTCCATAACTATAAAACAGGCTTTGTGCTTGAATTTGACTTTGTTTTTGTGGATCATCCAAAAGACTTCCAGCTGATAATTTAGCCTCAAATGATCTTGAGTTAATGGTGCCCAGATGCTTATCGATAGAGACACTACAAATCCTCTCTACAAAAAACCCACCTTCAGTTCAGACCTCTAAGGATTCTCACAAATCAAATGCCCAGAATAAAAGCTCACAGTAAAAAACGGACAAACAACACACACACACACACACACACACACACACACACAAACACAAGGGAAATGGGCCCCTTAAGCGGGAGGCGGCAGAATGAGATCAGTAAAGACTTTGGATATTGAACATATCAGACACAGAATATAAAATCATGTATTTATTAGAATTAATTAGAAAAGGATACTGGAAACATGAGTAAGGAGTGAGAGGTTATTAAAATGACCAAGTAGATAGGAAAGAGAACCACATAGAACTTCTAAATTGGAAAAATAAATAGTTGAAGATTTAAAATTATGAATGGCTTTACTATCAAGAAAATATCCAAAATACAAAGCAGAAAAACAAAGCGATGACAATCTGGGAGAGAGGTAAAGGGATATGGATGAGAAGGTAAGTCTAACATAGAGCTACTTAGGGGTCCGGAGGGACAGAAGGGGATTAGAGTCAAGGCAGTCTTTGAAGGGATAACGGATGAGACAGACTCAGACTCACTGCACTTTTCATGAGCTGGGAAGTCCTGCAGAGTGTTGAAGAGAAGTATTTTGAATTTGCTTAATCCAGCATTTTCTATACTGCTCTGACTGCCTGTCCCCTTCTGATGAGATAGCTATTGCCACGTTGTAGACCAGGTCTTTCTCTTTGGGACACTACTTTGGGACTTTTTGGGAGCAATCACTTCAGCACCTTGGCTTTGTTCTGTCCCCTCCCCTGGTTCCCCCACCTCCAATTCCTATAGAATTACGGGCCCAGATGAGGAGATTTGAGGAGCTGCTGCCCCAGGTGTGCTGGCTGGTGATGGAGAACTTCAAAGACAACCACTGGAAAAGATTCTGCGCCTCTGCCGAAGAGATCCGGGGACAGTTCTGGAATTATCAGGAGAAGCTGGGGAAAAGGAAGGTGGGGGCCCCAAGACCAGCCCTTCCTCTCCAGGACCAAGGGCCCTGGGAGCTCAGAAATGGAGGCAGGGCATAGGCAGAACTGGCCAGGCTGGGACTGTTGGATAGGGTCCGAGGGGCATGTGGCATTGGAGAAATACCTTCTTCATAGAAGGTGTTCAATAAACTTCTTTTTGGATTTACTTGGTGGGTTTGCTGTTTCTGTGGGAGTGTGGTCATTGACATCAACAATGATGGTCTACCTGGTCCTTGGAGGCATGGGACATGGATGCCATCGATTTTATTGGACTAAGGCCCTGGTTGTGCTGAGGCAGCTGCTTGGCTCTCCCATTCCCTAGCTCTCAGCGTCAGCTCCAGCCATGCCCCTATCTTGTCTTCTCTGCCTCTCCTCTGCCCATCCACGGCCCTTCACACACCTGGGTCAGAGCACACATCATTCTGGCCATGGCCTTTATTAGCAGAGGACGTGGGCCAATTGCATTTTGGTCCTGACCTAGAGACCAGGTCAAAACCCCCACTGATTTCTGGATTGTTTGATTGAAGGATGAAAATGCCCAGAAGCTCCATCCAAATCTCGGACATCCCTCACATTTCCAAGAAATGGAGTCTCTGTGTCAAGTGGAAGAGAAAAGGCAGGACGATTTAGATACTATGATTGTGGCAACCAAAGAGAAGCTCGAGGTCAGTGGTGCCATGGACTCCCAGGTCTGGGTGCTGAGGGCTGCAGTGCCCCCAGAGAGACCTCTCCTTTCCCCCCAACCCCCGGCTGACAGTCCAGCAACAGTGCTGAGCATGGCCCCTACCTGGCACCCTGGCCAAAGGGGGGCATGAAAGTCGGCAGGTGTTATAGGGCTGGTTCATCATTATTGGCTGGTTTAATGTGCATCTTTTGATTTCTAAATGAATTAACTCTAAAATTACTAATGAGAACTTCTTTTTTCGAGATCCATGTCTGTTTATTTCTCTTTAGTGAATTGTTTGTGGGCATCCCTTTGCCACTTCTGAATCATTTCCTATCTTCAAGCCCAGTCAGCTCTTGGGAGAGGCCTCTTGGCTGAGGACCAGATGCCACTTACTTTGGACATACATAGCCGACACATGACTTTGGTCTCATCTCACCTGCTAGCTCCCCAAGTCCTCCCTCAGCCTGCCTTTGGAGGCAGACTCCTCTCCCTGCAACACCAGGCTGCCCATGTTTCCCCCAGGAATTCACCAGGAAGTACGGCCGGTTTTTCATAGCCAGCTTGGCCACCTTCACTGAGAAGTTCCTGCTGCAGTTGGATGAAGTGGTCACCATCGACGATGTCCAGGTTGCAAGTAAGTCGTACCACCGGCCTTCTGCCTGGGCCCCAGGGGGTCGGTGACGTGGAGGGTGATGGGCCAGGGGCATCTGCTTTTCCCCCAGTTCCACCAGAATGAAAACAGATTCTCCACTGATAGGACTGATGGATTTTTGTTTTCATTAAAAATAAGGTGTTTTTTTTTTTAATTAAAAAAGCAAATCCCCAAATGGGTCAAAAATTATATGTAAAAAAATAAAACCCTAATAGTAAATATTTTAATAATCTTGGTAAAGGCAGCTTTCCTAAGTATGAGATGAGAGCCAGAAGCCATTAAGGAAATGGCTGACACTCCTCTGTGGCCAAAATAAAAACAAAGAAAAATGTCAAAAAATTGAAAGACAAACCACAAACTGGACAGATATTCCTAACAAGCTACTATATAAAGATGTGAATCATATATTAAATGTTATCAATTTGTCACTAACTTAGTGAGTAATTAAAATATTTTTATTTTAAAAAGCTTTTATTACAAGGACACTACATTTTTTATAGTAAGATTAAAAACTCAATATCCGTTACAAAGGAAGTAAAGAACACAGTCTTTCCACCCAGAATAGAGTGTCCTTACTATTTGCTCTTCATCCTTCCAGTCCTTTCCTTTTGGGCACAGGCCTGAGTATGTGTGTGTGTATGTGTGGGGGGGTGTTACAGGGTGTGTACTCTTTTATAACTTAATTCACCCTCAGGTGAATGTTGGCCAAGATGGTCAGTCATCTTCTTCAGCATTTTCTCTTGCTGTATGTCATACTTTATTAATTAGTCTCCTGCTGTTGAACGTTGGGCCATTTCTAGTTTTTCACTCCTGTGCTTGTGCTGAAGGGAGCATCTGCGTCCTTATATCTCTATTCTGGGGCGATAAGTTCCTAGAAGTGGACTTTTTGGGTCAACATGTATATGAATGTTGAGGCACTGGTTATTTTCCCATACTGGAGGGTTCTCTCGCCAGTGCAAGCCTTGTGTGGGAAGCGGGGCTAGAGATTAGGGAGAATGGGCAGAGCAGCCAGCAGGGAAGGTACTCTTGGTACCTTGGAAGGAAACGTGGAGCTGGGGAGACCCGCTGTATCAGCCCCAGGGAGGCCTTTCCTGCCGGAGCTAAGTAGCCTGGCCCTGCCCTCCCTGGCAGATCAGGGCTGCCCTTCCCTTCTGGCTTTCACTCCACAGGAAAGCACATCAAAGGACAGGTCAGCGAGCCAGACATCAGAGGGACTTTGAATGTGTTTGCCCTAGGGGTAGTTCTTCGTTTAGAACCCATTTGAGCTAGTATAAACCAAAGGTTATCTGGAGGCTCATGGAAGCTGTGTGAAGGTCAGAGCATCATGCCCTGGGCTTTGGAGCTGGGAAGAACACCTAAACCATACCTCCCATCACTCAGCCAGGCCCCCTGCCCACCGCCACTAGCCGCCCCCCCCTCCACCCCAGGCCTACAGATCTGGTGCTTTCAGCTTCTCTGTGGGACTGGGTTCCGTGTCCCTCTGGAGACTCCCAAGTAGGGAGGAGGGGAGCAAGCCCTCATCCCTCCAAACGTAAGGTCAGGGGGAAATCCCCTCAATCTTAGACTGTGCGTGAGGCCGTGGTCATAACCTGTCTTTTGCCTGTCAGGAATGGAGTCCCCCAAACAGAAAACATCAATCCTCATACGGAGGAAACTCGCTAGGCTTTCCCTGAAGGAAGAAAGTGAGAAGCCCCTGATTGAACGGGGGAGCAGGTAAGAGCCGAGAACATTGAGGAGTGTCATCCATAGCCATGTTTGCTGGAGCACTGGGCAGTGGAATGGTTAGGGGCACCTGGAAGCTTTGGAAAGGCATTATGCTTTTTTTTTTTTTTAAGATTTTATTTATTTATTTGACAGAAAGACAGTGAGAGAGGGAACAAAAGCAGGGGGAGTGGGAGAGGGAGAAGCAGGC